TAGCTATATTGCCTTGTACCCTCCCATTCTAGTTTTATTCTTCCATTCTAACATGGTATCATGAGTAGGTTAGGTCCCTCCCGCCCACCAGCGCTTCCGCCCTAGGTCCCCCCTAGGGGTTAGGTTCCCCCTAGCTGGCGCGTTTCCCCCTAGCTAGCCCGCCCCACTAGACGGCTCGCGCCCGTTCGTTAGCCGGCCCTCGCGCCCGCCCTGTAGCGACCCGCGCCTGCCCCGTAGACGGCTCGCGCCCGCCCCGTTAGCCGGCCCTGCGCCCTATCGTCAGCCGGCCCGCCGCCCCGTCCGTTAGCCGGCCCCCGTGCCCACCCCGTAGCGGCCCGCGCCTGCCCCTTCGACAGCCCGTGCCCGCGCCTGCTCCGTTAGCCGGCCCGCCGCCCGTCCGTCAGCCGGCCCGCCGCCCCGTCCGTTAGCCGGCCCCCGTGCCCGCCCCGTAGCGGCCCGGGCCTGCCCCTTCGACGGCCCATGCCCGCCCCATTAGCGGCCCGCACCTGCTCCGTTAGCCGGCCCGCCGCCCGTCCATTAGCCGGCCCGCCTGTCCGTTAGCCGGCCGCCCGTCCGTCCGTTAGCCGGCCCGCCTGTTAGCCCGTCCGCCGGCCCGCCCGTCCGTTAGCCGGCCCGCCCGTCCGTTAGCCGGCCCGTCCGTCCGCTAGCCGGCCCGTCCGCCCATCCGTTCGCCGGCGCTAGCCGGCCCGCCCGCCCGTCCGTTAGCCGGCCCGCCCGTCCGTCAGAAGGCCCCCCGCCCGGTCCGTTCACCGCCCACACCCGTCCGTGCACCGGCCCCGTGCCCATCCGTTAGCTGGCCTCCGCGCCCGCCCCATCCCTGACCCCCGCGCTCGTCCGTTCCCCGGCCCCGCGCCCCTCCGTCGCCGGCCCTCGCGCTCGCCGGTAGCCGACCCCTGCACCCGTCCGTCGCCGGCACCAGCGCCCGTCTGTTCGCCGGCTCGCGCTCGTCTCCGCGCCAAGCAGTGACGCTCGCCTGCACTGCCCTGCACTGCACCGCTTTGCACCGCTCTGCACCACACTGCACTGCTCTGCACCGCATTGTACCGCACTGTACCGTACTACACCGCACTATACCGCATTGCACCGCACAGCACTGCACTGTACCGCACTACACCGCACTGCACTGCACTGCACCGCAGCTGCATCACTCCTGATGGCTAACTCTGTGCTGCGGTTTGACGCGGAGGGTCAGCCGATCGAGTTCGACACGTGGCTCGTCGACCTCCACCGTCACCTCACAGGTCACCGGCAGGACGGCCACTCCTTGGCCGTCCACCTTGATGGTACGCTCCCCTGTTCTGACCCCCCGGCTCCGCTGCCCGCTGACCCCTCGCCTGCTGATCGCGAGTCCACTGCCGCTGCTGCCCTTGCCCGTTCGGTCTGGATGTCGCGTGACGCTGTGGCACAGCTTGCCATCAATCATGCGCTTCCCCTGTCTGAGCGTCCCCGCTTTAGGTCGATCAGGACCGCATAGGAATTTCTCGATGCTGTCATTGCTCGCTATTCCACCACGTCCTCTGCCTCCGTCGGCCGCCTGATCTTGCCCTTGATTTTCCCTGATCTTGCGTCTTTTCCCACTGTCGCTGACCTAGCCGCCCACTTGCGCACACTAGACTCTACTTGGCGCTCGGCCTGCACTGAGGCCCAGCTCCGTGTGTTTCAGCCCCCCCTCCTGCATGCGCTCTACCTGCTGGCCACCCACCTCCCTGACCGCCTTGCCACTGCCCACGACCACTTTCTTAGTGCCCACCCCGCCAACCTCACTCGCCGGTGTTCAAGGCGCGCTACGTGGCTAGAGGCTTCAGTCAGCGTGAGGGGGTGGACTTCTTTCAGACCTTCGCGCCGACCCCGAAGATGACTACTGTTCGGGCTCTGCTACACGTAGCAGCACAGCGCGACTACGAGTTACACTCCCTCGACTTCTCCATAGCTTTTCTTTAGGGCAGCCTACACGAGCAGGTCTACCTGCGCCGCCCTCAGAGCTTTACTGGAACCTTCCCTCCTGGGACCTAGTGGCTCCTATGGCGCCCAATCTATGGCCTGCGATAGGCACCCCGTGAGTGACACGACACGCTGCGTGCTACCCTAGCTGACCTGCAGTTCTTCCCGTCTTCTGCTGACCCCTCACTCTTCGTTCGTGTTGGCCAGACCCCGTTCTACATCCTTGCTTACGTAGACGACCTGGTCTTCGCTACTGCAGACAGGGACTCACTAGCCTTCGCGAAGGCGGAACTGCTGAAGAGACACACCTGCACTGACCTAGGAGTACTGCGCCACTACCTTGGCCTGCAGATCTCCAGGGACAGAGCAGCGCGCACCATCACACTCTCACAGTCACACTTGGTGCGCCAGGTCCTTCAGTTCGGAATTTAGTTTTCCTCTGCACAGCCCACACCTCTGCCAGTGGACCACATGCTCGCAACTCCTGTTCCTGAAGAGTCAGCGGAGCCGAGTGGTCCGTACGCAGAGCTGGTGGGTTGCCTCATGTACCTGATGACTTGCACTCGCCCAGATCTCGCATACCCTCTCAGCATTCTGGCTCGCTTTGTGGCCACAGGCAGACACTGACCACAGCACTGGTCTGCCGCTAAGATGGTTTTACGTTATCTTGCAAGTACATCGGGCATGGGGTTAGTGTTGTTAGGATTAAGGACGGAGTGTAGGTGAACTTAGGAGCTAGAATAACTCAAAATATAAATCCGAAATTTTGGACAGAAAATTCGTCTCCACAAGAAACGTCGTCGGCAAACCCTAGCAGTTGGAATGTCCCGAAACTCAGATATGTTAAAGCTCTTAATATCAGCTACCATTACCAATTCAAATCACGCTGATTGATGAAGTATTCGCGACGATATATTTTTCGACACATAGGGGGGTATGCTGTAGGAGAAGAACGTAACTCAATCTCAAACTTCAACCAAGGTTCAAGAATCTCACAAGGAATTAGAGGAGCAAGAGAAAGGTTGGGATAGAAAGAGAGGGATGAAAGGGAAGGTCCCAAGAGAGTCCACAACCAAGGAAACCCCATAAGCACAAAGTTCCCTCCCTATAGGAACCTCAACTTTGACCTTTGTCCCTTCCCAACCAATCCATCCAAGTTGGCCACCCTTGCCAACCTAGCTTGGTTGTTCCCAACCAATTCGCCAACCTGCTACAGTAGAGTGACGAATTTTCCAAACCCCAAAGGTCCTAAATCCATATTGAGTCACCCCACAACTACACTTTGTAACCGCCGCAATTGTAATGCAAGCTCATGAACTTTGAATCTTCATAGCTTTCGCGTTCTTGCTCCGATTGAAGGGATTCTCGTTGCGTCGGAAAGATCTTCTCAAGATCTATCATCACAAAATACCTGCTCAAACAAAATAACACAAAACACATTCCCAAACTCCAGAACACACCACACACAAATTCTTGCACACGTTCAAACCACACATGCAAGTTGAAAACATGGGATGGGAGGCAGACAGATGTGATAGCATATGATGACGTCACACAACAAGTGTTGGGAGGTCGCAGGCCAGTGGTCCTTACAGGGCACACAGACGCTTCTTGGGCAGACGATGCAGATACTCTCAGGTCCTCTCAGGGCTACTGCTTTAGTCTTGGTTCAAGTGCCGTTTCGTGGAGAGCTACCCGCTCCTCGTTTGTTGCCCAGTCCAGCTGTGAGGCTGAGATCTACGCCGGTGCCATGGCGGCACAGGAGCTCCGCTGGCTGACCTTCTTGCTCACGGACTTAGGTGAGCGGCCTAGCTCTGCCCCGGTCCTATACGTTGACAGCAGGGCCATGATCCTTCTGTGTCAGGAGCCTCGACTTGAGGGCAGAGCGAAGCACATCCAGCTGCGGTACTTCCTCCTGCGCGAGTTGCAGCAGCGTCGCCAAGCACGCGTAGAACACTTGGCCTCCGGTGCCAACACAGCTGATATCTTTACGAAGGCGCTTGCACCTAAAGATCATCAGCGGCAATGTGTACAGCTAGGTCTTGTTTCTGTGGCCTCTCATTTGCTAGGGCATTGATTGTGTACAGATCTTTATATATCTATATTACCTAGACTGGCCTTGTGGCCGCTCCCAGTGGCTGGACTAGTAGTGCCGCCCTGGTCTTGCTCCTGTCATGTCTGTACTCCTTTTTTTAACTGGTCTTTAGACCTTTGCCTCAGAGGTAGGACTAGTAGTGTCGCCCTGAGCTGCTTGTTCTGTTGTTAGGCACTGCCCCTATATAGTATAGGGGGTGTGTCAAACACAACTAGTATGTTATTGTAGACTATACAGGTTTGTGCCTTAGAGGGTACAACACTCTAGCTATATTGTCTTGTACCCTCCCATTCTAGTTTTATTCTTCCATTCTATCAAACTCTGCCGAAATTTTTGACAGGTGTTGCAAGAGACTAAGTATAGAATTTGCAAACACGAACACTTGGAAAACCTCAAGTGTTAGCCTAGGATCTTTACTGGAATGGTAGACTAGTAAGACAGCGGAAGTCTTGTAAGAGTGAACGTGAGCATATAATTCTGTGGAAAGTCAAGGTTAACAATAGAAAAACATAACAAGGATTTATAGCTCTAGGAAAGTATCTGTTCGCTAATGTACCTGTTCGTCACTATCGCGCTATGCGCCCTAAATGATAATGAAGAGATGCGACTATTCGCGAGACTGAAACGACTGTCCTCATGACAAGCGCTATTTGCTGACGTCATCCTACGGACTTATCTTCTACAGTAGGATTCGACACTATGTGCCGATAATCGACGTACAGAAATGCTAAGTATGAATTATACGACAACAGTCTTAGGCCCTTGCCTCAGAGGCTGGACTAGTAGTGCCGCCCTGAGCTGCTTGTTCTGTTGTTAGGCACTGCCCTTATATGGCCTAGGGGGTGTGTTAAATATAACTAGTATGTTATTGTCGACTATACAGGTTTGTGCCTTAGAGGGTACAACACTCTAGCTATATTGTATTGTACCCTCCAGACCCCCAAATTGGTTTTGGGCCTGTCTGATTCGTCAGAGTCCACTGCCTTCCCTTGGTATGGGTGTCAGAGTTTCCTCCTTGAAAAAGTCTGAAAAATCAGAGTAGCCTTCGATATTTTGTCTGACCAATCAGAGTCATAGCCAAACTTTTGTATGAGCGTTTTTTATGGCTCTTCATTAGAGAATGCACTACATTTCACTACATACACGGAATCAGTCAATATCCTGCATATCCTGCTGAGGCGCTGCCGGCATATCATCATCTACTTTCTCCTTTCCCTTCCTGCTGCTACTAGCCTCGGGCAGGGCGTTGCTAAGGGGCTTCCTCTTCTGATAAGCCCGCCATATGGTGACCACCTCTTCCCAGTCGGGGTCATACTCTAGCTGCGACACGCACATCAGATCTCCTAGCCGTGTATCCTTGAGAGCCCCCTGCAGCCAACTCTTGATGACGTTCTGGCGGGAGAACCCGCGCTCGCACTCGACAGTGCTCAACAGAAGGACAGCCACCGCCACCCACAGGTTGACCAGGTTGGGGTAGCTGTCCCTCCAGTCCTGCGTCTTGAGCATGGCGCTCAGCCCCGCGTGGAATGACTTGTCCGCCTTGGGAAGCGCAGCAAGGACGGGGACAAAGTTGCGGAGCTCGCTCTGGGCTTTGCGCTTGTCTATACCTGCTCAGACAAGGGCACACAAGGAGAGGGAGAAGGGTTGGGTTATCGGAAATAGTACACAGGGTCTAGGAAAAGATATGTGTATTGTTTCAGATACATTGCCAAAGGGATACTAAAAGGAGTAGATGGTGATTCACCTGGCAGAATTTCGTCCCTGTCTTCAGCGCGGTAGATGACCACGAGCGAATTGAACCACTCGAGGCACTGCGTCCTTCGTGCCTGTCGGTCCCAGTTGGGCGGCCATGTGTCGGCGCTGAACAGGCGCGCTCCCGACAGCTGCCGCAGATCGCCTAGGCGCTCGTCGAGGTTGCGGACCAGGCCCTCCACTAGATCCATGCACGCCACGACACTCCCATCGTGGTCGCTAGGCCCCGGGTAGTCCTCTTGGGGCTCTTCGTGCAGCTCGAAGGTGAACCGTGAAGGTCGGCCATCGGAGTCAATCCCCTCCACTGTCCCTAGCTTGGACTTGCCGGGCCCGTGCTTGGCGAGGAACCGCGTCAATCGATCGTTGGGCCCGCCGGTGAAGTCGTCTCCGTAGTCCACGTAGCGGCTCTCTAGCAACGAGGTCGTGCGGATCGTTGTGTAATCCAGCTTGTGGGTAGGGGGGCGAGGAGAGGTAGGGCATCACAGACGGATGTGTGATTAAGGGACGAGCGGCAGAGACAAGCAACATCGACATGCATGCAAACACAAGCATTTAACATATTTACCTCCCGCTGCTGGAAGACCTTGTTAAGGACGTTCAGCAGCTCCAGCACGTCGGCGAGGAACATCAGGAGGAGCCAGAAGCGGTAACTGGTGACGAGCGCGTACAGCTTGGCGTCGTACTCCTGCAGCATGACCACGATGGCTGGTAGGACCTTGACCAGGCGGATGACCGCATCTCCGCGCGACAGCCATCGGATGTTGTGGATGCCCTGGAGCTCGAGGTTCGTCGACATGAACACCTCCAAGAGCTCCAGGAACCGTTGATGCCAAGGGTTGGAGCGATCGAGCAGCTCAGCGATCTCGCGAATGATGTTGTCCACCATGCTGAAGACAGGGATCTCCTCGGCAGCAGCCTTTGCCGCCAGCGCCTCTCTGCAATGGGATAAGGAGATGAGATGCAAACTAGGAAGCAAATTAGGGATTGGAATTATAAACAAAACAAGAAGCAAACATACATGACATGCACACAGCAAACGGATGACGAACCAATGGGCAATGCAATGGCAAGAGACAAGGTGCGGAACGCGAAGATGAAGGCGGGCCACAAGTCCAGAGCGCGATCCCATCATGACGGCAGCGCCGTCAGTGCTTATGCCAGAGATGCGGCCGAGGTCGACGCCAATCGCCTGCAGATGGGACAACAAGAGGGCGAGAAGCGATGCCGCATCCGCCTTCTCCACTGTCAACAGAGCCAGGTACTCGGTTACAAGCCGCCCTTCCCGGATGAACGTGGCAAACACGATCATGTGCTTGCCACGGCAGCGATCGGTGCTTTCGTCGAGGCTCAGGCCAATGTAGGGACTCGCCAGCAGGTGTTGGAGTTGAGTCGTCTGCAGCCACGTGGCCATCGCTTGTATCAGTTCGCCGAAGCCGTACCTGTTACATGACACGCACAATGCAAGTTGTTGTAAGTTTCAAATCTAAAGACGAAACATAGCGAAGTTCATAGTCACTGGAGTTCTCACCAGTTATAGTACGTGCCGTAGGCAGACTTCGGGAAGCCCTTGAAACTGCGCGATGAGAGGTATCGCACCAAACGAATCCAAGTTTCCATGGTTCGTTACACTTGGCGCAGAAGTAGAGGGAGTCGAGCAGCGCGATGACTCGCTCCTTCTCTTCATCGGCCGC